AGCCCAAGTTTTTTTTAGCCAGGCCCAATCCGGAGCGGCCCAACAGCGCCTTTATACTCTCCCAGCGTAGCCCAATTCGAATTTTAAGCCAATTTTTGTGTTCCGGAGCTCTTTTTTCGTACCGATTTCAATTTTAAAAATATTTTTAAAATGATAAAATTTTGGGAAAAATTATGTAAGTCCCGAGACTTCAAATTTTATCATCCGAGTCTTATTTTTCAAAATGAGAGAGTTCCAAGTCCACGAAAAATCCGATTAAAACCCTTAAGGCTTAATTTTAATTAAGTATGGGTTTTATGTTAAATTTGAGTAGTGAGATAAATTATTGATAAATTATCTCGCTTAAATGTAGGTGTTTGAGGAGTCGAGCCTCATCCTACGTACTTGCTCTTGTGTGAAATTTTCTACCGAGCTATCCAGGTGGGTTTTAATTTAAAATTTTCTATGCCATATGTGTTTATTTTAATGTTGAATTGGTATGATTTTAGTATGTACGTAAACCATGTAGCCTATCGGCGTGAGCCGATTCAGCCATCGGTACGGTTGTCCGCGTCGATGTAATACGATTACCTGCGAGGTAAGTCTCCGTAAGACCTAATGAAAGGTCGTGCCTTGTCGTATGGCACGTACCCCCATGAGTTAGGGTAATGAATCCCCTTTCCTTGGCTAATGAAAGATGTGAACACGTGGGTATTATGTCGTGATGTGATTAGGAGACGTGACAGAATAATTGATTTATGTTCATACTTTAACCATACCTCCTTTACATTATTATTATTGATGATATATGTGCATAGTGGTGAGCACGCTTTTCATCTTGTGCTCATCCCCACCTGCTCTTCACCGATGCAGGTTAAGCAGGGGCTGGGTGACGAGAAGAGGCGAGTGGGTCAGTCATGCATTTATTGCTTCTATTTGAATAAGTAAAACTTTATGAACCTTTATGTTGAGACTTGCTTAAACCTGTTTCCAAAACTTATGACTTGTTTGTTTTTGGAAAACTTGTGGAACCCTCGATTATTGATTATGATGATGTGGTTTGATTATTCATGTTGAGTATTAAGTTTTGTATGATATGTTTTGGTTAATGAAAACCATTTGTGAAAACCGGGTAATGAATCCCCGTGGGCCCAGATAAAACTTGGGTTATGAAAATGTTGTTTCACACCCATTAAGTTTCGAAAATGATCTCGAAAAAATTTGTACTGATTTTTGGAAAGTCTGGAATTTCTGTAAAATCAAAGTGGGGTGTTACAGTTTGGTATCGGAGCCAGTCTGCGTTTCTGTAGACTGGCACATATGTGATTATGTGTTTAGACCTTGTGTTATGACCACTCGTCTCCGTCACTCTGCGCTGCTTAAGGTTTGTTTTGTTTAAGTATTAAGGAAAATACTGGATATGTAAATGGTACACATGTTGTAATGAGACTACTTGTGGTGTAATTGTTATTTTTGGGGCTTAGGACCGACCACCTTGATTTAATCGAACTCTAGTGTTTATTGGCGAACTCTAGACTTCTGTAATTATGA